AGTTGGAATCATTTTTAAAAAATGTGTGTATCCTTAACAATAATATTTTCGAAAATTTACATTTACAAGCTCACAAAAATAATACTACAAAAACCCTATCATTTGTTTTTTAATTTGAATTAAAAAATTAGTTGTATATTATAATAGTTATAACTTTTAAAATTAAATAAGAAATTTCAAAATCTTATTTTTAAAAAAATTCGTTTTACAAAGTCGTTAATACAGTGAGTAGAAATATTTTTTAATTTTTTATAATTTTTGGAAAATAGATTTATTGCGTTTTTATAAAGTAAAGATTAAAAAAAATCAAAATTTTATGATTATGTTTATTTTGTAGATAATTTAATTTTAAGAATTATCGTGTTTTCAGATTTTTTATTTTCAAGAGTAAATGACACGAATGATCCCTATGATTTGGGGTAATTTGCGTGCTTGGTCCCTAATTTATTTTTTTAACTCGGAAGGTTCCTATGGTTTGTTTTTGTTACGTGTTTGGTCCCTACTGTTTATTTTTGTTACGCGTTTGGTCCCTATCTTATCTAAAAACACTATTATTTAAAGAGGAAAAAATGATGGGGTAGGTAAGGTAAGGTGAGGGGTGGGATTAAGGGTGTGTTTATTTAGATAAATTAAAAAAATCAAGGGCATAATAGTCTTTTTAGGTAAAATATGGACCAACTGCGTAACAAAAACAAACAGTAAGGACCTTCCAAGTTAAAAAAATAAGTTAGGGACCAAACGCACAAATTTCCTTAAACCATAGGAACTATTCGTGTAATTTACTCTAAATTAAAAAATAAAGAAAAATAAAAAATAAATATATAAAAAACATTACAGTCATTTCAATTTACCAAAAAACCAAATAGGATGAAACTTACACCAAAAACCACCGACCCAAAAAAATTAGGATTTTAACCAAATTAAAATACATGACACGAGATAATTTTTGTAGATTTTTCTTTAATGTAATTTCACGCCCTTCAATTTTCACATCACCAAAAAAACAAATCTCATTTCCCCCAAATTGACCTAAGTTCCCGCTCTCACCAAATCGATGGAATTTGTTGTGCGTTTTTTGTGCTGCTCCCTTATTAGTTATCGCATCTTGAACCCCGCACAAGTCATTCATAAAGCGCTCACAATGTCCGGAGATTGAAAGTTCTGCTTCCCCGCTCCATCTCCCATCTATCCTACTCCATTTTTTGTCGGCGATTTAGGGTATTATGACTACTCACACTCAATTTGTCTCAACTTAAGGTTAAGTGTTGGTGGTGAAAGAATCAGATCGACCATCTCCTTCTCTCAATTTCTCTTCGCTTACGGTAAAGTGTTGGTAAATCCGTCTTTTCCTTCCAGACTACTGTTTCCCTCGCAGGTTGTCGGAGAATCACGAACATCTTGGTGAGCTTTGTTCAGGGCCAACTACAGAACCCTTGTTGAATCGTCATGGTAAGAATGCACCCAAAAACCCTAATCCGAACCAATGCCGAACAAAGGTACCCGACATCTCTCTTCAATTTTGACTTTTCTGGATTGAAATAGACTTTAAGCGCTTGACCTAAGACCAACGGAAATTGAGAGAGAATCGCACCTGCAAGTACACTGAAAATCACACCAATTTCATATTTTTGATGGAGACAATAGTGGTTTCTAGGGTTTAGAGATGATCAATTTTTCTTGAAGAAGGTTTCTGGTTATTGATTTGGAATGAACGACACATGAGAAAGGCTATAAAGATATCACATCCTATATTTTTGAAGAAGGTTTTTGGGCAGAAATATCTAGATTTTTCTAAAACAAAAATCATTTTAGTGACAGATGACGACGAAAATGTCTGCCATGAAAGTAAAGAGCATCCGTGGGTAACTTGTCATTAAAACTTTCCATCAGTAATATGTTGGAAAATACCTTCTGTTGGTAAATACGTCAAATAATATCAAACTTCGGTTTACTTCGATGGAAAATTTCATTAGTAATCTGTTACATAAACAATCGAAATCTGTCAAAAAAATAATTCCTGATGAGGCTTTTACGACAAACCTAATTCTGTCAAAAATCATTTTTACCGACAGATAAGGCTGTCGGAAATTGCCAAGTTTTTAAGTGGTGGTTTATTGATGTTATTGATAATGGGTTCGTTTGTTATAAAATCTAGATTTTTGGTAACTTTATGAATTAAAAAAAAAACACGACTTAGCAACGAGCATCCATGTCGATATCCCTAAGTCCTACCTCCGTGGCTACATAGTCTACATTGTCCATGTATTGCTCACCACAATATACCAGTCGTCGATCTGTGTTTTTAAATATTCTTTGGCTTCAAAGTTGGTGGAAAATAAAATATGTTAGATCAATGACGAATATTTCCGCCATTGATATAGAAGAATATGATCGCTAAAAATTACTCACCATACAATTCAACATTTTTTTTTGTCGTCACTAAGATAAGTGGGTATGAACAACATATTATAACATGTTAAGGCATCGGAAAAATGTCACCTTACATCCGATGTCACCATGGTGTTATAACACCAATTAGAGGAAACTGACAACATGTTATAACATCCTCCATTTTCCATGTTATCATTTTCTTTTTTGTTTTATTAATAATTATAAAAAACAAATATAAATTAATAAGCATGCCTAAATTAAACATAACATTTAAAAAAATTACAAACAAAATACATTCCCCCCCCCCCCCCCCCCCCTAAATTTCACTATTTTCCATCCATCTCCATGACCATCACACATATAATCTGTAAAGTATTCATGAAATTGTTTGTGTTTTTTGTGCGTCCTAAATACCAACCTCTATGTAAATATTCCGTTGTCCTTGGTTGAATTTGCACATGTCTAAGTTACATAGGTGAATACGCTGCAATATTGTGTCATTTATCTTCAACCACCATATTATGCATTATGATACATGAATACATAACATCTAATATAGTTTTTAACTCATAAGGTCGTGTCGTATGTTCAATTATGTGCCATTTTGATTTCAGAACTCCAAAAACACGTTTCACGTCCTTACATGCTTTTTCTCGTCTTCTCTTGAAAAAAAAACTATCTCTTGGGTTTACTGGTGTCGAAACGCCTTCACAAATGTGGAATATGGTGGATATATTCTATTTGTAAGGTAATACACAAACTTATATTCATTTTCATTCACTGTGAAAGGAGCATTTTGTGCCTTTCCCGACAAAAGATCTTCGAATATTGGCGACTAATCAAGAACGTTTATGTTGTTGGAACCTGCAGCCCCGAAATAAGCATACCGAATCCATAAATATTGGGAAACAACAACCTTTAGCACCAACGAAGACGTTCCATGACGACCGCTTGCATACTGCCCTTTCTATGTCATGGGACAATTTCTCGATGTCTAATATGTGCAATCAATGCTTCTAAGCATACCTGGAAAATCATGTCTTTCTTCATATAGTTGTTGCATATCATTAAACGAAGGTTTGCACAAGTATTTATCACCGAAGGTTTCGATAACACCTCTTGACAATCTATACAATCTTTCTCATGCGATTCACTTAAACATTCTCATATAATCGTCAATAGAATCGGACAACTCCCCCATAGCCATAAACTTAATTGCCACAACACATTTCTGCAACTCTGTGAATCCTTGTTTATCTCTAGCATCGTATCTCATTAGAAAAAATTTCATACTTAAACATATATTTAATAAAGTAAAAAAATGTATTTATTTTATGTAAAAGCTACATTTATAATTTACTTAATTTGAAAGAAACGATATTTGCTTTCCAAGGCGTTGACTATCCGTTCAAACACATTTTTTCGCAAACAAATTTTCTTTTGAAATCGTGTGGCCGGTAGACACAATTATCCGCAAAATAATTGTTAATCAGACGTCTATGTCCTTCGTGATCTCTGTTTAACGCCACACATCGTCTTAGTTGTGGAGCTGGATCTGGTTGTAGTAGCACCGACCCTACAATATTAGTACATCATACCAATGAAGCTATTGTCGTCGTTATCATCATCGTACATCTGGAACAAATCAAACATATCCTTTTTTTTTGGAATATTGAAATTTTATATGAAATAAAAAGAAAAAAAAGAAAGTTGTAAAAATAAGGTGTTTTATGTATTTATAGGTTAGTAATTGTTTTTATTGAATATGACCATTTGAAAATGGTTGAAATCATCAAAATTAGATGCAAAAATCTCGTTGCCTGCCGTTACCAGCACCACGTATGGCCACACAACGTGCATCAACAACTAGGATGGGACGGTGTTCAACCGTTACCACGCCGTTTCCGGCTGTCCACATCGACAAAAACGCCCATGACGTTGTCCACACGGGTAAGTCTAAATGCCCTAACTATCGGTGTGAGCCGTGAGGGATTAGTCCATATGGGGTGGTGTACTGGTGTTTAGCCATTGCCCATCGTTACCAACACCACGTGTGGGCACATAACGCAAATCAACGGCTAAAGTGGAGTAGTGTTCAACCGTTACCACAATGTTTCTAGCGGTCCACATCGACAAAAACATCTACGGCGTTGCCCACACCGGTAAGTCTAAATGACCTAGCCATGAGTGTGAGTCGTGACGGATTAGTCCATGTGAAAGTGTATTTTGTTGAAATGACTTGTGTAAATCTTGATTGACAAAAATGTAGATTAATCACCTATCATAAGCTTCCCAATAACAATCTTGTGTGAACCAAGGGCTTGAAAGTTGATACGCAAGAATCTTTACAATTACAATTCGTAATATTATATGAAGGAAATGACCATAATTTAATGTTTCGGCCTTTCGGGTCATACCCAAATAAATCGAATATAGTGATATAAACGATTTGTAGTACTAACTAATAGTCTAATAGGGTGATATAAACGATTTGTAGGTACTAATATATATTAGACGATTTGTAGTACACAAAGTCCATGTAGTTATATGCTTTAAAATTATTATTTTCTAGCATCTTCACGCGTATCACGTTATTCGCATCATGGTTTCTTAGGTTTGCTTAGCCAAACTATATATTTTCATTAAAAAGTAGTTACTAAAGTATACTATTAAGGTACTTTTTTAATATTTATCATTTAAACGTTTTGTACACCCTCCAAAACCCTTCTCTTAATAAAGTATATTCGGTTCGTATTAGAATTTCATCTCCATCTCCACTATAAATATGGAGATCACCATCACTATTCAAACACAAGTGAAACAAGGATCCATCGATATGGATATCATATCATTCTTCCCTTCATGGATTCTTCCAACAACATTACTTCTCTTCTTTACATCCATCTTCATGTATGCTCTTGGAAGGAGGAGCTCATCCTTCAAGCTTCCCCCAGGCCCTAAGAGGCTTCCAATAATAGGGAACCTTCACCAAGTGTTGGGTAAAGAGGGTGTCCATCAAACCCTATGGAACCTCTCCAAGACATACGGCCCAGCTCTGCTTCTTCATTTTGGAGCCCAACCATTCCTCGTCATTTCCTCTAGTGAAATGGCTACTGAAGTCTTAAAAACTCATGATGAGAAGCTGTGTACGCGTCCGTACTCTAAGGCTACCAAGCTACTGTCATTCAACTACATGGACGTTGCCTTCGCACCACACAATGATCATTGGAGAGACATGCGCAAGGTTTTGGTATCTGAGTTCTTGGGTGCTAAAAGGATTAGATTATATAAAAACGTGATGGAGATTGAGATGGAGGCTCTCATTCGTTCTATCTCATCACATTCCTTAAACACTACAGTAAACCTAGAAGATATCATCTTATCTCTAGTATATGATGTCGTGGGTAAGGTTGCATTTGGTAACAGCTACAGGGGAAAGACTTTTAATGGTAGAACATTGAAAGATATAGTCGAGGAGGCACAGGTCATGGGTGGTGCCTCATTTTCGTTTATTTTTCCAACATTTGGTTGGATTTTAGACGAATTAACAGGGTGGAATCGCAGGCTACAGAAATGTTATACTGATTTTGATGGCTTTCTCCAGATGATTCTTGATGATCATCTTTATCAAAATGACACAAAAACAAGTGGTCATGTAAATGATTTTGTCGATGACTGTATGTCTCGGTTGACTACAGAGGAGATGAAAGCACTTGTGATGGTAAACAACACATTTAAATACTTTTCTATGTTTTTGCATAGATTTATTTCATGGTTTTCAGTTTCATTCATCGTTTTTTTTTCCCCATGAATAAACATCACCGCAGAATGTGCTTGAAGGAGCAGTTGACACATCTACTATAACAATGGTGTGGGCTATGTCCGAGCTCGTTAAAAATCCTAGAGTTATGCAAAAGTTGCAAAACGAAATTCGAAGATGTGTTGGAAGAAAATCGAAAGTAGATGAATCAGATATTACGAAGATGTCATACTTGAAAATGGTGGTGAAGGAGACGCTACGATTGCACCCACCTGCAGCTTTTCTGATGGGAAGGGAATGTGTAAGTCAATGTCAGATTGGTGGATATGACGTGTTACCTGGTATGAAAGTGATGGTGACTGCGTGGGGATTAGGAAGGGATCCAAGAATCTGGAAAGAGAACGCAGCCGAGTTCTATCCAGAGCGATTTGAAAACATTAAGCCTGATATCGGAGGGAAAAATTTTGAGATGATCCCGTTTGGAGGGGGGAGAAGAGCATGTCCTGGGAATAACATGGCTACTTCAACTGTAGAATTTACAATTTCAAACTTGCTTTACTTCTTCAACTGGGAAACACCAGCCGGATTGAAGAAGGAAGATCTGGATATGAAAGAGAATGGCTTCCCGTTTCTTCGTAGGACGACACCTCTTTGCCTTGTCCCTACAAAGCACAACTGGGAAGACTAGGAATCAGTTTGTTCTTTCCATTAATGATATGTTGGATCAGGCGTGAATATACTCCATGCGGGTCAACATTTTATGTAATTTCATTATCGCTATAAAACATTTCATTATCGCAATAAAACATATCACTTCGAGTAACATGTGTTTTCCATGCAACAGGATGTTTTTTTTTCCTTTGTTTTTTTTATACCTTTTTTGAGGAATGATGTTCAAAAATTGTGAGAAATTAAATTTGCATCGTATAATGTAATTTGGTCACAATTTTTTACATAGTTTAAATATAGACTAAATTATTGAAATTGTAGTTGTGGTTGTGGTAAATCCTATATTTTGTCTGTATTGGGATAATGATTTAAAAGGGTAATATATTTTTTTATTTTAATACATTTGATCATTGAGTTTTTTTCGTTTATATTTACTCATTCGACTTGTTAAACTGTACACATTTGGTTCTTATGATTGGCTACTACCGGTTAGCCGGTAAAAATAACTTAATAGGGTAATATATTTTTCATTTTGTACATATTTAGTCATTAATATTTTTATATATATTTAGTCATTAATATATTTTTTTGTTGCAAAATAACTCATTTTTGTTTTTTGTATTCATTAAGTACTTATGAATGATTTCTTTAGGTTTTTCTCACGGCATCTTATGTATGTGAGACAATAATAAATGAGGTGTTTGAGGCTTTTTGTTGGATTAGGTGTCTAAGTCATAACTATTTTGGTATGTACTTTGCCTTATTATGAACATGGTCCTTTTGGATTGCCTTCATCATAGCAACTGATAGGATGAATTAAGGAGAAAAATGATTAATTATGATTTATTAATATATTATATGAACAATATATTAAAGGAAAAATCATATTGTTTGATTAATATTGATTAAGAATTACTTTATAATTAATTTCTTGGTCAAAAGAGATTAATTAAACTTAGGGGACTGGAATTGCAATTATAAGATAATTGGATTTTGGGATGTAGATCCCTTAGGAATAAGGTAGACGAATTCAAGGTGGAAGCCCACTTAAAAATCATCCAGGCCTTGATTCTGGAGGGATCTAAAGGGCTACATGATGGCTAAGCAATCCTATTGGGGTTTTGACTGAAACCCTAGCAACTCACCTATAAAAGGAACCCTAAGGCTCCCAAAATTCGGCCTTATGCTTTCAAGTCATCCTTGTTGCTAGTGCTGTTTGTGACTCCATTAGAGATGAAACACTTGGGGCACTAAGTTTTCAAGAGTCAAGATCAAGAAGGATTGTGATTGTTATTGCTACATAACAATCAAGGTAATATTCCTAACCCTATTCATATGTGATTTTCAGTTATTTATGCTAGTCAATTAGGGTTTATTGCTTTGGTATTCAATGTTGTATGTTTACTTAGAAAAACCTAGATCAAAGCAATTAGGGTTGCATGTACACCATAGGATTCATGTTATGCACATAACCCATAGTGGTATCAGAGCCTAGGTCGTTTTTCTAGTGAATAGATGCAACAGTGAGTTGCCAAAGTTCAAGAAAATCGAATTTTTTGTCTTCTGACTGGCTGACTCACCGAGTCCATGTATGGACTCGACGTGTAGGTCCTACTCGACGAGTTCCATAGTGGACTTGACGAGTCCAAGGGTCTGGTGCCGGGAATTTCGATTTTCTTACCAAATTTTGTTGATGATTACTTTCAAACTCGTTTTTGTTGCCTAAAATCGATTTTTTATGCTTGGAATGGTTATTCTTATCAAAATTGATGGATTTGGTTAAATATGGATAATATAGGATTATTATTAGTCAAATATTTAACCTAGTAATTTAAAAAAATTTCAAATTACATCATCTAGGTTTTATAGTTTAAATTTAAACTTAAAAGTTTTAGTTTTTGAAATTTAAATAGTTAAATCCTAATGTTTTGAAAGGTTTCAAAACTTATCCTCAAGTTTTGGAATTTAAAATTTAATTAAAAGGTCTTAATTTTGAAATATTAAATTCTAAAACCTTAGGATTTTGAAAAGTTCAAATTACACCCTTATGGTTTTATTAAATTAATTAAGTGTGTAATTAAAAGAGAGTTAATAAATCCATAATGTAATGGTTTATATTAATAAAATTAAAGGTATAAGTTATTAGATTAAACCACCTAGTACTTTAAAACTGTAAAATACACCCTTATACTATATAAAATTAAAAATCTTATATTATATATGTATGAGTAAATAGTCAGTTTTACCGTTAGTAGGCTTCATTCACAAAGTCGGTCTATAAGGGGTGTTTAAAGAAGCGATGTGACATCCCCATTTTCACGGCCAGAAAAGACCGATTTTGTTTATGCTTTATAAAAATCAGAGTACTTCTTTTCATAAAAAAAAATGTTGCGGAATTTGTTCCCAGAAAAATACAACAAATACGTTATCAAAACAGTTTCGAAGAAACGTATTTTATTCATTTTAAAACACTTGGGTTTTCATCGCCAATACAGGAACATAAGCATAAATGGAACTTACATTAATTTACACTAGTGATCTACATCTCTTTAATCTCTCAGTGTAATGTGACTTCATATCAACACCTATGATATAAATAAACTGAGTGAGTCAGGTTGGGAAACCTGGTGAGTACATAGGGTTTTCAACCCACAATAATATAATTATTATGTTTATCAATCAAACAATCAACCTAATTACCCATCCCCATTATCTTCTTTACTCTTAAGGATCTACCCTAAGAATCAGCTATTCCTCGTTCATTCATTCCTAAGGAATCGGCAAGAAATCCATCGTTGCCACGGTTTACACAACGGGCACTAAGTCTGCATAGTCGCCAGGGTTTAGGCATCAAGTCTGCATGATCACTAATGTTTAGGCACCAAGTCTGCATGGTCACCAAGGTTTAGGCACCAAGTCTACATGGTCACCAAGGTTTAGAGTACACCAGGTGAACACGTCGTTCACAACACCTACAGGTTGCGAGCCTGCTAGTGTTCCACTGGACTATCTAGAATAGTCTATGGTTGTCATCCATACTCTGCTGAATGACGGGGCCATCATTTGGGAAAAAGGCTTCTCACATCGTCCACCTCTCACCCTCACCTCGTGGTCTATAACACCTCTCAACTCATCATTCAACTCATATTTCATCTATTATATCTACCCATGTTTACCCCAACATTATCGTAGATATAAAATACATATACATTTTAAATCATTGAAAACATGTATAAAAATGTTCACCCAGCATAGATAGCAAGTATTCAGATAATATGCACACATAGCACGTAATTTATATAAAATACTTCATATCTATGTGTAAGCTGAAAGTAACTATGCACTCACTTGATTAGGCGGTGACTCGTCACTCGGACAGCACTTCGTTACTCTTAAAACAATTTCCTCAACAAAACCTAGTATCAATATGACTAGGGTTTAGTCTGATGTTAACCGCGACCAATTAATAGTCCAACTATAATTATTATTATATAAGCGTTAATAACACTCAATATAACTCATAATAATAGCCCAAATAATAATTTTAAGGTCCTAATAATGTTACTATAATTAATTAGAAGCTATGTTAAAAATAGCGTAGGCATAGCTCACTTACAGCGGGTTTTTTCGCAAAAACCGGGCTTCGCTGGAGCAGCGTTCCCGAGCCGTAAGGTTCTTTTCTCGGGACTCCGGGAGCCTTGGGGTTTCCTTCGGTTGCTAGGGGGTTTACCTAGGCTTTTAGGGGGGTAGGGGCTTTAGAGAGAGAAACTAGAGAGAGAAAGAAGTGTTTGGAAGGTGTAAGAAATGGAGAAACACGGCACTCTTATTTATAGGGTGACATCCTGATAGACTCTCCGAGTCGGTTCACTGACTCGCCGAGTCAATGCCACGTGTCATCATCTGATGGCTTTTCCTGGGGGGAAAGCCTTGGCCCATATTCAGCCACATCACCCCTATTGCAGCAACACCCTGCCGACTTCTAAACCCCGTAACTTTCGCATACGAGCTCCGTATTCGACGTTCTTTTTTTCCACGCGTAGGTAAAATCAAGATCCACGACTTTCATTTAGACTTCGTTGGTTAATTCTCGACCGATCTGAAATTTAACAGTAGGAGGCGTTTAGACTATTAAATGACCGCGAAGAATTCGTAACTCCTTCATACGGACTCCGTTTTCGTCTATCTTTTTACTGTTGACTTCCTATTAATGAGATCTTCAACTCTCATTTAGTTCGCGTAAGCCAAAAACCACTCGAACTAAAATTCGAGTTTCGGGTCGTGCACTGCTAAGCTGAATCTTAGAAAAATCATAACTTCCTCATACGAAGTCAGATTTGGGCGTTCTTTTTATCGGCGCTCTTAGTTTAACATATTCTACGACTTTAGTTTATATTGATAAGGCTAAATCTCGCTCTATCGTAAATTCACTATTTACGCTTCCTGGTGTCGTGCCGGTTTTGCCGTAAAACTTCGACGGGCCATAACTTCTTCGTTATAACTTGGATTTCGGCGTTCTTTATATGTACGAAAACCATGTAACATATTCCACAACTTGGTTAAGATTATTTATTCTAAATAATCTTTTGTCTAAAAGTCGTTTTCAACCCCTATTGCCTCTAAATTGACTAGCTCGGATCTGCGGGCGTTACAATTATCTCCCCCTTAGGATGATTATGTCCCAGAATCATCAACGAAACAGGGTAGTATAATGACTGCATATGTTATCTCTTCATCCTAGGTAATAACTGTAACTTCTATGTTGCTTCGAACGAGTATCTAACTCTTGGACTCCTTGACTGCACGCGGTGCACCTGCTCGTTAGACTTTCAATCATGACCTTCGTGTCACAAGCTCATTCTTTATCAGAGACTCCTTCTTCTTCTTAGGATAAGTTAATTTGATTGCTACAATTGACCGATGTGTCATATTCTAATGACCTATTATCGTATGTAACAACGCTTAGACTCAGGTCTCTTATAGTCAAATTCCGGAATGGAATATGCCTTCCTTCATGGTTTAATGTGATATAATCACATTTTAACATGTAGCATTTCTAGCTACCAACTTCTTTAACAACGAGTGTGATACTTCTATTGATCGCTTTGATTTCTATTGTTTGGTTTAAGTCGGACGCTACATCAAACTTGCTTCTCTAAACCACATAACCTACTCATCGTAGTCAGACTCAATGTGATATGACCACTAGGGTCGGGATAACAACAATCTTCTTAGTCTTTACCGAAACAATGGTAACGACATACTTGAATAAAACAAAATCAATTACTAGCTTCTTGGTAACCTTGTGACTTTCCCTAATACAAGTGTGAGTCTTGTGTTTCCGGTAGTATAGGCCTCTACTACCTTTCACACCTACT